CCGCGCTCCAAGTCCTTGGAAGCCCCTCGCCCCTGATTCTCTGCGCCTTGCTCCATGGTTGCCTTTCCTTTCCCTTTGTCGTTGAGTGTTATTGCAAAATCTCGTACAACTGGGTCAGAAATACTCTGCCCACGTTTCCTCAAGCCAGTCACTCGGGTCTCGGCAGGAGGTTCAGCGGGTGCTTCTTCTTGCTCGTTGGCAGGGTGGGCGTCAGAATCCAAGAATGTTGGCGAAGGATCAGCGGACCTTCGTCCGTCGTATGAATGGCGCACTGATGGTGGTAGACTGATGCGATGCTCGGCACCACTCCCGCTGCGATCGATTTGGAGGCTGTTTCGATTTGATGTCGAATGTCTCGTTTGGCGCTGCTCCGGAAGAGTCAGCAGCGGATAGTCTCCTGCGCCGATGCCAAGAGGGTCGGCAGGGTCGACGGACAACGGATCGAGAGTCGGATGCGAAAGAGGAACGGCGGGAGGAGGCGGTGTCGAAGGGCGTCGTTTGCGAAGAGCAGGCTTATCGGGAAGGCGTGGTGTAGAATTGGTTGGGTTCCAAAGACGAGCAGCGGAAAGGTGAGGAAGTCGACGGGCCGCAGAAGAGGTGGCGCGATTGCGAAAGGGCGACTGCAGGAAGTACTCTTTGGGGTCGTATTGGCGTAGCAGGGATGGACTGTGAGCTTGGGGCAGAGCGGCGGCGTGGGCGGCTACTGGAGTTTGAAGGTCGGGTGAAGCGCCGGGATATGTGGGCTGCTGCGAAAGCGTTGTGATACGAGGATTTGCGAATGCATCTACGGTGGCCGGTGACGGAGAGTTGTTTCTCGCGTGTGAAGCCGTGGGGAGAATGGTTCGACGAAGGCCGCCGTGAGGACGACGGCCTTACGGGGCACGGTGGAGAACGGGTCTTTTGGTTGTCGAGGAGTTTGCAGCAGCGCCTGGGCCAGGCTCGTCGAGGTCGCCAGGGCCTCTTTAGGCGGCGGCAGAAACGGCAGCGGCGATGTCGACAGCGAACGGGGTGATTGAATTGGTCGCCGGGTTGGAGGGGAGGTTGAGGGGATGGTATTGGTGAAAAGTCGACCAAGGAAAACGTCGCGCAGGAAGAATGGGTGCAGCAACAGCAGCAATAGTCGTAGGTGCAAAACGATTAGGTTTGCAGCTAGATATGTGGAGACCCGGACAAAGAAATGCGTAGGCGACGACGTGCAGACGGTGGCTCGGACTGCAGCTTTGGCTTTCGCTTGAACGGTGGTGGTGGTTGTTTTAATGCAAGCGTGGGCAAAGCGTCCAATGGTGAATGGCAGAGGGAGAAGCGGACGAAGAGCGTGATTGGTAGCAGCAGGCTTGAAGGTCAAGGCTGTGGTGGTTGCCGATGTGGATGCCCGTGTGGATGCAACGGTGGTGGTGAGGGCGAGGGCGAGGGTGGTGTTGGATTTGAACCGAGGAGGCAATGGATAATTGCTGCAAGTGCAAGTAGTGAATAGTCTGAATAATTGCGCCCGAATGAGAGTGCAGGTTGTCCAGAGGTTGCAGGTAGGCGGCAACTGTGAGGCGGCCGTGGAGTCGTGAAAAGTGGAGAATGCGTTCAGGGGGGAAGAGATGGCCGAGATTGGGTTCCTGGAGGCTCTGGCTCTCAGTCCCAGCATTTTGGGAAGCCGCTCGTTGGAGGGAAGCAGGGGGTGGAGGGGGACCTTCCTTGAAGTTCCCTCCACTGCGCTGCCCCCGAGAAACCTGCCCACTCTTTCCTTGAGCGCGCAGTTGCCAGTCAGCCAGTAAGCAAAAGCTGAGCTGTGCTTTCTCTGCCCGGAAGGTTGGGAAGGTGGAAGGAAGGTACGGAGTACGAATAAGGTAGGAACGTCGGGCTAAGGTAGGCTCTACAGTAGCTCCTTCCCAAGTTCCTGCTCGTTGGGTGCCGCAATGTGCAGGAACGGACGGCAGGATTGTCCTTTCTCTGTGACTCTGCGTTGTGGTTCCTGGCTCCTTCCTGCTGCTCGAATTGTTTGGTTCGGATCCTGTTGGCCCGGGATCAACGTTTCTGCAGCTCAATGCCCACTGCCCTTCCAAATTCGTCGCCGTCGTTTGGACCGTCGAATCGTCGTATATTGGATATTGTCGATTTCTTCTCTCGTCGCCGTCTCTTCTCGATACTTCTTTGTCGTCCAAGCTATCACAACGTCTGTCCACTCATCCGCTGGTCTTCCGAGTTCTTCTCCACCAGAAGCAGAAAGAACAACCAACCGCACCGATGTCGTCGTCGTTGCTCAAACACTCTCCCGCTGTCGAACAAGCAGCAGGGCTGTTTGTCGTCGGCCGCGGAAACTGTCGCAGAAGGGGTCGTGGGTTGAAGAGAGATAATCGATGAATTTTAAAACCAAAGCTTCCCGTCAGGCTTTACAAGCGGAGTGGTGCAGGATATATCAACAATCTGTGGCCCTGCGAAGCGGTTCCTGTTACAGATACAGGACTCGAGGATTCCGCCGGTGCTTCACTCGTCGTTTTGTGGAGGGTCTTGGGTCTTGAGTCTCGCACCAACGGCGGAAAAAAGCGAAAGAGAAAAAAAAGAAAATCTAGACACGGCAGGACACGACACGAGATCCCTCTCCAACAATCCGTCCCCAGCCCATCAATATATGACGACGGCCTGCCTCGTACACAGCTCCCACCTGACTTCGATGGCGTTCAGCCTGGCAGGTGCCTCCCTGTCTTCCCAGCCAACGTCCAAGGTGCTTTAAATTGTCTATCCTGCAAAGATTTCTAGCCGGGCTCGCCTTTGTCCTGACGGCGACACTGCACTCCATCAATCTTGGACCCGGGTGACGCACTATAAACCTCCAGGACCCATCAAACCATCCTGGTTGTCCTTGCTCGCCGAGGCCACCAAAAACCAGGGTTCAGACCGGGTTGTCCGCGTCGGCAGACACCAATTTGCGCCTTGTTGTCTAGCCTGTCTTGCCCAATGGCACATTGCGGCGCAATTGCGAAAAAGATTTTGTGGCCCTCCCGGCCTGGCGCGTTGAATCAACGCGACGTCGGGATGAGGGAGACAACAGTCTGTCGTCCGAGGCTCTGAGCAACCCTTCTTATGCCCCCCTTACGATGTGGGCAACCCCATTCAACAAAACAGCCTGGACTCTGGAGCAGCAGCTCGACTCTTGCTTCGTAAGCAGCAGTGTGCCGCGCCATCGGTCCCTAGCAAACTTCCAACGGGCGAGCGGTGCCCCCGGATCGTCAATTGGTCTCGAGCCACCTAATCGCGCGGCCATTGTCTTGTCTCTTCGCGATGATCAAGCGGCCACTGTCGCACCTCTTTTGTCTGTGCGTCACGACTCTTCGACTTTGCCGATTACAAACAACCCAAGCATACGGTTCCTGGGAGTGGAAGTGGACGGCTAGAAACTTCTGTTGGAAATTGCTGCACTCCAGCGTCACAGTACTTTGCCTTCGTGTTGCATCCGCCCATCCAACCGACCCAAGACATGCCAATATCACCAGGCAAATAAGCATCAATAGGGAATGCCGATCTACGAGGCAGCCAAATTTGGATGCTCAGAGGTTCAATCGATCCATCTTTAGAACGGCAGATTGGACTTCTGTTGAAGAGTTCAGGTTTGGAAAGTGGGGCGTCAAAACTACCAATCCGTTTACAAGCTTACAAACGAACAACCTTGGTTGCGGTACGCCTGAAGGGCTAGCGATACATTGCTGATCCTGGTTTAGGGGACGATTTGTGGGTGCTAATGGTGATGTTGCAGTTCCCGGCAGAGCCGCCTTTCACAATAGGTATCCTTCTTGAATGCATTGCCTTTTGTTTTTGCGGGACATGGTAACCATAAGCTGGAGACGTTCACATAATCCAGGGCCAGTTCTTCACAGATAGCCCAGCGATGCTTGCGGGTATTGGGACACCGATCATTCAGACTTTCGATGTTTCTCTGCCTGGCACTCACGCAGACTTGTTGCACCCTGCGCAAATCAGACTGTAGGAGTAACTATCCAACTCGCAAGCGGGAGAGACAGGCTTCTTGATTATCTCGGCTTACCACTGAGCTGAAATGGACGGGCGTGCTATGTCACTGGCCCCCAACCAAGAGATTCAATCGCCCTCAGCTCTCTAATTGTCTGACAGTCTTGAGGTCCATCACTTTCTGTGATGCCATGGAAGAGCTCAGCCGGGGGAAAGCATCCGGCCAAGCAGGTCCATAGAATATGATTCATCTGGCAATTTCCTACCAGTCAGGGGGATTTCACGAACCTGAGGATGATTTGTTTCACTCAAGATGTTGTATCGGTGGCTGGCAGCAAGTATCGACGAGACATACGCAAAGACCAACATGGAGAATTGCGGGGTTCCGTCTGACACCCGTCTCTTAGACATATTTCAGCCAGCCCCCCATCTCTTTCTGTGTAACCGCGCCTGTAGAGGTGCATTACGGAATCCCAATCTGTTACGAAATCGGTCTGTCTTTTTGTTTCTCATTAGGGAAACTGCTCATGCCTGCGTTGAACTGACATGCCTTGTTTGGTTCAGTTGGATTGGTTCTAACGACGTCGAAAGATACATCTTGATTTGGCAGTGCCACGCGTGACGCATTCGAGGGATAGAAATGCATGCGACAGCCAGTGGTCCCGGCTCGCTCGAAACAATCAACCGGCGGCTACGCAGTACACGTCTGTCAATTTATAAACTTGCTGAGCCGAGATTCAACATATCTTGGATCAGAACGCGGTGGCTCGCCACAAAAACGGTCAGAGCTAGATCATGAATGCCTCATGGCAATGGCAAACCTCGGCGAAGTGGTCGAGCCATGCTCAGCCGAGATCAACGGTGCGGCAGTCATTTAAATACATTAACACAAGCAGGCAGGCTTTGCTCCTTGTTCTTGGGGTGATATCTGATGCGGCAGAATTGGGACGATGGCACAGACAAAAACAAAGGTCCCGTGGCACGCGCGGCTCCCGGCATCAATCCATGACGACGTTGTCGCAATGTCTGTTCGCTCGCCGTTTCTCCGGGGGGATGGTCATAGCAGAAAGAGTGCCAGCACCAATTATGGGTGATCAAATGGGAAGACAGTGTGGTTCCCTCCCATCCAGCGACTATCAAGTGCAAGCAACATGCGTATCGGAGCAGAGGTAAGAATCAAGTGGTTACAAGTGTATCACAGGTGCTACTAGGATAACCCACACTATCAATTTGTTGGGGCGGCAGGATGAAAGACAAATAGAGGTTCACGAAAGTCTGCTGCTTTTGCCGATCCATGATCCACTGGTCGTCGACGCAATCCGGGATGCTGTGCGATAGGGAGGAAAAATATTGGGTGTGGCCGAGGCATATTTGGTGAGTTTGAGAGGACGTTCATCTGTTGATGCCTGTCCTGCTCCTGGTATGCGAACGTGGTCCAGATTGGTACGGCCAAGTGACGAGTCGGATCAAGAGGTCATGGTGGCAGACCAGATAAGGTTACAAGGTGATCTTGGTATCGGCAGATGACGGGCAGCCTAGTCTTTGACCTATCACCAAGGAAGATGACGGGAATATCGATGTCTAGGCCCTACAGCACTTCTGGGTATGTATCTGTAGATGAGCACGCCGAGGAGGCGAAGTGGTGGGATGGGATGGCCGTTTCACGTACCGCTAGCCTACGGCGATGGGCCGAGGCGATGCTGGACAAGGGCAGTAGCCTTTCGGTTCTACTGATCGCATTGCTGACATTTGCAGTGCATCTCAACAGACATGTGCAACGGAACCATCAGGAAGATACAATGTTATGTCGCACGAGCGCACGCGATGTATATCTTTTGAGTGGATGAGGTTGATGTTGAAAGTGCGAGACCTCAAGCTCAAGTCCATCCCCCTCCGCTCTCCCCCTCTCCCCCGGCCCAGTTCCGGCGTCCACTGTGGATCTAAACAGGGTCCTCAGGGCTGGATGCGGATAGGGATGTGATGCGGGCAGAGCGGGAGCGGGGGAATGGGGGGAGAGGACCCACGGATAGGTTGCATCACTGCATCATCATCCCTGTCGTCAGCATCCATCAGCGTGAGCGCGACCTCTTTTCAAGCCAGAAACGGAGATGTACTCTACCTAGCTGGCTAGGAATAGGTAGCTCTGTCATAGGTAATATCTCAGACAACTTGGCTACTTTATTGTTGTTTCCAGGCTCTGTCGTGAAGATATCCGTACAAAAGACACCAATCTTATTTGGCCAAGCCTCGGTACCTTGCCGTGGATCGGTGACATCAAGCAGCGGGTCGGCCAGCTGCAAGACCAAGTACCTTACCTGCCATCCCTCTGATCGAGGCGGAGATACATCCGTCAGCTAAGGTACTTCCCACCTTAGCTATCTCGAGGTAGCCTAACTGTAAGGTAACGTAGCCTGCCGTGCATCCGTCTGAATCTTGAAAATAAGTAAGAGTAAGTACGGAGTACCTTAGCTTACATTACCTCATCTTCCCTTCCCAAGATATCCCCAGAGACAAGCTGTCAGTCTACAGGTACCTTGATCAAGCCCAGTCCACCTCGCAACACCTCAATCTTCCATTCATCCCCCCGATATTTCCTCTTTCTCACTCCTCAAACCTCCTCATCCTCTTCCACCTTTATGCTCATCGTCCCCGATCCCCGTCCCTCCATTCCACCTTGCGACACCCGCGACGCCGAGCAGGGACACGGTACCTCGGCCACTCGTTGCGACTCAGAAAAGTCGCCGGACGTTTCCTCCCCGCCCAATCACCTCGCGGTACCTTACCTAGCTAAGGCAGGCAGGGACGATCCAAGTCAAATCGCCACCACCTCAAGCTTACCTTAGACAGTAGAGACAGAGCAGAGACTAAAACCACGTCCCATTCCCATTCCCGCCAGCGACATACCAACGAACGCCAGCCCGAATCCTCAGCTCGTGGCGCTTCACTTCTCGCGCTTTTCGCCCTTGGTGCCTTGGTACACACCACTGACTGAACCAGCTGTCTCTGTCGCACGTACACACCCAACACCACATACATTCGCTCACTCGCACATGCTGCAGTGTCTACACGCCTACTGCGTGCTGCGAGACACGCAGCTCCTCATTAGCTCCTAGCGCCCATTCTTCCCTCTCTCCGCCCCTCTTCCTCCTTTCCTCCTTTTCTTCCTTTCTCTCTCCTTTCCTCGGGCTCAGAAGCGCGTCTTGGAAGAGCATTTCTTCTCGGTTTTTTCTCAAGGACGTGGCGTGTCGCGGATGAGGAGCCTTCAAAACCCCTTGAGAGCCTGTCCCAAGCTTGGACTCCACCATCTCGCATCGAACTTTCAGCAATCGACGACTTATGAAATCATAGAAAAGGACGCAAAGAGAAACGATAAGAACCGAATTCCACAGTTATACATTTGAACTATTCGAGCTGGTATCTCTTCCGCCGCCCAACATGTCGGACGAGAACAGTTCTCGAAGTCCGACTTCGCCCCTCACAACGACGAGCAATACCAGTAGGAAACAGACCATATCATCACCGGGAACGACAGCTTCACCAGCGCCTTCGGGACACGCCTTCAAACGCGCCGTGACGGTAGACGAGACATCTCAGGTGCGCCGGCGGCCACCTTTCAGCCATATCCCGACAGAGAACTCATTCGCCGAGAGAGGCCTTGGAAGGAGAAGGAGTTCAACTTTGTCGGATTATAGCTTTGGCGATGCGAGAGATTTCCTCAACCCCAGGCCTGGAGATGGTATACCATCAACATCGACGGACGAACTTTCCAGCTGGGCCTCGGTTCCTTTGGCATTTGCACTCTTACCTGCGGTCGGTGGTCTGCTTTTCAAGAATGGCAGCGCCGTTGTGACGGACGTCATGTTGCTGGGCTTGTCGGCCGTGTTCCTGCACTGGTCTGTGACACACCCATGGTAAGTCTGACGCTCTATTGTCCGATATATCGTGACCGGCACGATCTCCTTAGAGAACAGAACCATCCGAGCGCTGACACCAGCCACCAGGAATTGGTACCACTCGGCGCAAGCAGTACGAGAGCGGGCAGAGATCAGCACGAGCGCCGTCATTGACGATGAGAGCGAGACAGAGCAGGGGGCCGGAAGCCCGTCACCGGCGGCATCGACGGCTAACGGCCACACGACGAACGGAAGCGTCGACGAAGCGTCTGAAGTACCCACAACGCCCACGTCCCTTGTCCAGGAACAAGTACGTAAGACGACGACGCCGCCAAGAAACAAAAAGGAGGACGCATTGGCTGAGCTATGGGTGCATGAAATTCTGGCCCTGATATCATGCTTCATGTTTCCCATGCTGGGCGCATATCTGCTGCATGCCATTCGCGCGCAGCTAAGTCGGCCCTCGGAGGGCCTGGTCTCCAACTACAACTTAACAATTTTCCTCTTGGCTGCAGAAGTACGACCGATTTCGCATCTCATGAAGCTCGTGCAGTGCAGGACCATTCAGTTGCAGCGGGATGTCCACGTAAACCCGTACAAGGACGACGGCGCCACGTCAGATCAGATGAGGGTTCTCATGGCACGGTTGGAAATGCTGGAATCACGGCCTGAGCCGACGCCGATGAAGCACAATGGAAACTCGGACAATTCTAAAATCAAGCAAGAGGCCGCCATTGCTCGCGATGTGCGCAACGCCATTCAACCCGATCTGGATGCGCTGAATCGGGCTGTGCGGCGATACGAGAAGAAGGCGACGGTACTTGCCTTCCAGACCGAATCACGTTTCGCCGCAGTCGATACTCGCTTGAACGATGCCATTGCGCTGGCGGCAGCAGCGGCCAAAAACAGCGTCGCTCGGCCGGGCTTCATGCAGTGGCTCGTAGAATCTGTGTGGGCCATCATCACGATGCCCTTCTTCGCGATGGTCGCTCTGCTAGTGCTACCTTTCAAGACAATTAGAGGCTTGCTCAAACGTAAGAAGAAGTCCCTCCCTGAAAGGACATCAAAGTCTAGTCGAAACGGGAAGACCATGGGACACGGGAGGATGACGGCAGACAGACAGCCAAGCCGCGTCTCAAAGAGGTGAGAAGGGTGTAGGGCGTCGGGGCGTAAGGTTGGGGCAAGGCGCGAACGGATTGGAGATTTTTCAAGATGTTCTCCTGGCAACCAGAAAAAAGGATCAGGTTTTCGACATGGATATCAACCATGGGACAAAAGAAATGGAGCTTTGGAACCAGCCGGTGTTGTAATATGGGATCCGAAACCAGTACTCTCTACGGAACTAAGTCAGAAGGGAGGAACTGGTTTCGATGTATGTGGAGAAACAACACCTACAACTGTACTGTTACGTGTCGAATTATATTCTCATCACCGTCTGTCTACCACGTTTTCGGGATGAACAATGATGTGACCAGGAAACTCTCCAGTGACCCTTGGACTGGTGAGGAAGTTTGTCAAGTTGGTTTCTCAGCATTGATGAGACGCCGAAGCGATACGCCAGGTCATAGAAGGTGACGTTGTTGAAGGAGAAGTCGGCTATCCCATACACGATCTCGGGTCACTCGGTGGTTGGGGACGTTCTGCCAATGTTCAATTAAGAGAGGGACTGAAGCTGAGGAATCTCGATAATTACGTGAAAAAACGATTCGGTTTGGATAGCATTAGTGATGGCTGCCTGTCTGATCACTCGGCCCTGCGGTCCACGGCGGTAAACTATAAATTCGGTATCCGTATCACGGAAGATATTTCTCGATTCGTACGAATTTCGGTGAAAAGAAGACCTACGTTGGTATAAGTCTTTTAGGGTAGCTTCTACGCCCCTCCGTTTGCCAAGGTTTCGAAGTTGATTCTACTTTGGACTGTATTTCATATCGGAGACAAGGGAAGAGACGAGCATGGACAATTGTAGTCATGTTTTATGGGGTGGTTGAGTTTCAAGATCAAAAATTCCCCTTGATGGATGTCGCTTGCAAAGCGGTCTTTTGGTCATAGTATCAATGTTGGCTTCGAACGTCTGGTTGTAGTGTGGAGGTAGAATCATATAAACCTAGGATATCATCTATAATCCATAGAAACAAACAGATGAGTAGGCTAAGAAATGTGTGGGAAGATTCTATATCGCACATCAAGCTAACACATCTAATGTTAGGGTATCTCCATGGCGTGGTGCTGCACTGGGAGCGGGGGCAGGCATCGTTTAGATGCAGGAGCTCAGTCTTTACCATACCTTCTGCGGCCTTTGTGCAGACATCGCTGCGAGGTTCGTGGGATGGGAAATACCACTCTAAGACGATCGAAGGCGTGCTAAGGGAAGGGAGGCGTTGCGAACCTCGTCAAGAAGAGATCTTGATTGACGAGTGATATTTATGAAGGGATGAATTGGCTACTCGAAATACGCAAAGTTCTTTCATGTCGAGGATACTTTCGGCACGAGCTTGGATCTCTATCCCGTACCAAAGAGCAATACACATTAAGGATTGTGTGATTGGAAACACGGGGGACAGATTGTGCCTAGGTAATGGGGTATTGGCCCTTGAAAAATCTTCCATCGGCTGCTTCTATCGATGGAAAAGACTATCCCCCCTTTTCGCCTCGAGAGTACGTTCTGTTCTCATATGCAATAGATTCTCTGCTAACGGATCGCTGGTATACTGCGTTGCGACATTCCCAATTAAAGAAATAGCCCGGAGACAACATCACTATGGACGGGCTAGATAACTCCGTTACAAAGATAATGACCCGTCGATGTTGAAGACAACAAGTGAGCGGCGACTACGTAGTCTCGCCACCAGTTCTCTCCGAGGCACCGACACCGCGTAGTGCCTTGATCAGAATACTCATTCACATTTCTCGAATCCAGGAACAGGAGGAGGTTGGGAGAGATCCGTTTATGTACACAAACACATCCGTGCCCATCCACGTGCGGCCATGTCTGCACGTCCTAGAAGGTTTCATGGAACTTCTCTGCCTGACCCGGCGGCGGTCAAAGAGACCTCTTTGGAGTCAATTTCTCCTAGGAGAAAAAGCTGGGGAAGTCCAGAGCCCCAGTTTGGCCGCAGGCGCTTGGGTCGCGGGGGAGCGTTGACAATGTCATGGTGGTCGTGGCCACGCGGAGGCTCTCGCGGCAGTGTTACTTATTCGGCGGGATGAGGTTGAACCGTCGATCCTGCAGGAAACGGATGCCGCAGATGACGAACTGAAATCCTAAGCATCAGGCCATGCGCGGGCTTCTGTTATGGCATTCGAGGTCCGTCCAAGCTTCCTTGGTACCAAAGATCCGCTCAAAGGTTCAAAGGAGTCCGTCATCTTTACCGGGCGGCTCCAGAAGGATATACATCCTAATGGGGTCGTAAGGACGGCGCGAAGCGGAGTGACCGTCTGGGCGTGACAGGAAGGATCGCTTACATGATGTCCCTCCTCCATAAGTTGAAGCCGTTGCCCAGGCTCAGAGTCGACACAGCACGCCAGTCGGCTATTAGTAGAACATGGATGGTGTTGGTTGAGTCCTTGTCAGTGCCTGGCTTTGAAAAGGTATAGAGTCTTGAACCGGGGGATGCCTGTTCCCGGGTCACGGCATGATTTTGCCCCTCCACGCAAGGTCGGACGAACCGCTCAGGGGAACCAGTTCAACCGGCCGGGCCATTCCACCTGCCGCCCCAAGTTCGAGGTCGGTTTTCGATGAGGTTGTCCCACGATGGCCGATAATTTGCCGTGCCAAGGGACGAAGAAGAGCTGGGTGGTCAGTGACTCGCGGGGGTCCGCAGACACGGCGTCCGAATATGGGACGAATACGATAATAATTTGTGTCGAACAGGAGCGGGAAGGCGTCAGGATCGGGAGTTGGCGGCATGCCATTGTGGCGCCGAGCTTGATCTGTTGCTTTTCTAGAGTTACACGAGAAGCTACCGGCTTGGGTATCCAGCCCAATACCTGGAAAGGTACGCGGAGTATCGAGATCAAAGACAAAATAATCAAGAAAGCAAACTCAGGATCGCCCTTATGGGGGAGGCTCATGCAGTGAGGCTTTGCCCGTATCAAAGCGAGCAGGGATGCGAGGACCCCTTTATGCGATGAGGCGCAGAACGTGGGGCAACTTGTAAGGACTGTGGTATACCATCGGCAGTCGGGCAGTCGGACAAGGGCATTCAACAACAGCTACCCAAAAATATGAGGAGAACAACGCTTCGTAAGCTTCCGCTGTTGCGTGACCTGTGCTGTCACCAAGCACATGGCAAGATTCGATGCTGAAAGAAATTTCTTCTCCCTTGGCTTGCTCGATCGAGCAAGGGAATGTGTGGACCCTTCAATTTCACAGGCCTAGCCGAGGGCGCGACTAAAGGAATAGCGGCGCCGGCAGCGCGGTTTCGACCTAAATCAGCCATTGGATAGTGTATTGAATGGACGTGCTTTGCTCCCATCGAGACATTCAGACCGTGTCGAGAAGGAAAATAGAAATCTGGTGTGTTGCCAGTCAAAGTAGCCGGAAAGCTATTGTTTCCAGACGCAAGCCTCGAAACAATACCGAATTTGTGAAGTCAGTAGCAGGCATCAACTGATGAGAGGGAAACAGAACGGCCGACGTCACAATGTTTGTGACCGTGGGCGTGATCATGGCCATTTCGACGCGTTTGCCACCTGTTTCTTGTTTACCAGAGTCAGAATCAGACAACTGAGTCAAATCGTCTTTCTTTCTCCAAGGCTCAACCAGACTCAGGGGCCCATCTGTCAAACCGTCATAACGATGAATCTACATGCCCCAAACCCAGACTTAATGCCCGTGGAGAGTATCACTGGGCTGTCCATGTGGGGGGATGAAAGTTTCGTCCAAAGCTTAAGTGGATTCTGGGTGGACTCGTTGGTCGGCAAGAGAGTTCAATATGTATGTGCGGCGTCCGTTGTGGTTGAAGGGAGAGTTGGGCAAGTGCTCCGGTATCATTGGAGGTCACCGTGCTTGAGCGTGTGTCTTCACCGCGTATGTGTCTAAGGATAAACTAGGACTGGTCGAGAAGGAGCACAAAAATACAGAACTATTGTATGCAGGCCTAGATTACGTGCCCGCAGTCCGATCGCGCCGGGTTGTCATGGTTCGCGGTGAAAGTCGATGGGAACGCCTCTCGTAATCTCGATCGGCTGGATAGTGTATCCGTAGATGTGCGACAGAGGCAGAAAAGATCTGACAAAAAACCAGCTGAAGGACGATCAATGGAGACAGAATACTGGGGCCAACTTTCATGTCTATTGCCGAGAAAACGCGTCTTCGGAAGTTATTGACGCATTGTCTGGTATCGCAAGCATGGGTCTTCCGTGGCCTAGTCGTTCGTGCCAGTCTAGCAAGATGCTAGGAGTAATTGAGGTGGGGAGTTGTGGTTGATGATATCAAGGACGAGCGATGCCATGTGTGTGTGCTGGTGAAGTGAGATGAAGGTTCCCTTTCATTGTTTAGAGACTTGGGGAACTTGTAAGACTCAGAGTCAATTCCACGGCTTGAAAAAAAAAAAAGTACGTAGTGACGTCTCAAACGTACGATATTTCGATTGGAAGGCATGGAAGTGCTCGTCCATGTCGTTCTCCTCTCTCTTGCCTTTCTAGATCCTCGTCTTCCAGGTTCCTTCCTCCCTTGAATACACCGTTAAGCTAAGGCAGGAACCGACCTAAGACGGGATGGGCTAGTGGATCTGAGGAAGGCTTAGCGTAAGGTACCTAGGTGGCACCTGCTTTCTACCTAGGCCCTGGTCATCAAAAAGCGCCGGCTGGACCACGGGTACCTACCGTGCTACCGTGGGTACGTGATACCTTACCGCACTTAGGTCTACTTTGTACCTGGAGATCATCCTCGTCCCGCTACGTCAGTGCAACTCTTTCATTTCGCATCCATCACGACTTTCTCCCTCCGAGGTTTTCAAAGTTCAAGGTCTCCATGTCTCGTTTGACCGGAGACGTGCAGGTGGTCAGGTGCAGTCCGCAGCTGCAGCGAAGCTATGGGCTGCAATACCACCCCATCTTGGTCAACTACTGACCTAATACAGGTAGACAAGCCAATGTTCGTCCTGCGCGGCACCGCGGCTACCGGCCTTGTCTTGCCTTGGGTGCGCCACCGATCTTGTGGCGGACCTGATTCACTTTGCAATAATCTCCTTTTTTCCTCGAGGGTGTACTCTATTCGTTCTTGGAGGCTTGGAGCTCAGCTGATGAACGTCCTCGGCCGAACCACCGCCGCTACCGTCTATCCAACGCTGTCGGAAAAAAGCAATTCATCACATTACTTACAGCGATACGGTTGACCTAGACGTCCGCATCTGGACAAGAATTCATGCGGGTGGCAGAAGACTATCGAAAATGCTCAAGTCGACTCTCCCATTATGGAAATGCAGACGACGTGGCCGTGGGAAAAGCAGCAAAGGTTAAACATGATTTCCACCTCATCATGATGCGTGCGAACCACGACGCTGTCACATATGGATGGATACCCTACGGCTATGGCTGGCTGGTCATGGGTCAGACAGAATCTGGCTGCGAATGGGGATCCGGATATCCAAGATGCATTGCCATGCCCTGCCCGTCCATGCCAGCTCACTCTGCGCTGCGATGTGCTGTGGACTGCGGACTGCGTACTACGTACTGCACATGGCGCTCGGCCAATGCAAGTCGTTCGCGCGCCCGTCTCGGGCATTTCTGTGAGGACAGACTGGACAGGACGGGACATTCTGGCACCAACGAGGATGTGGAGGCATCGAAGAGCGTGTGTCGCGTCCACACGGTCATCCCATCTAATCCTATTCCTCTCTCTATCTCATCTCGTCCAATTCACCATCTCATCCCTCCCGTCCATTCATCCATCCAATCCGTCCACGTTCTTCACTCACCTCACAGCCAACGCAAGCCCCACGGACCCCTCCACCCCTCCCTCAGAGGCTGCCCCCCCTCCATCTCCTCGGGCTGTTGTTCCAACTTCCTTGCTGTTCCTGATTGTCTTATTCCCATCCGAGTCAAACGCTAAAGCGCGGTATGCCGGGATTATCCCCTGTCCCTGTAATTTGGGATGGACGCGCCTCAACTTCCGACGACTGCTTACCTACACAGTATTGCCATGTACCAACAGCATCCTCATCACAATTTTTTCTCACTTCACATTGTCTTGCGCTACATTTGCGTTTGCTGCATTCTGGTGCTCTTCAGATCGCCCTTGAAATCCGTGACATAACGTACAGGTTCAGCAAGCAGACCGGGATTCTCATTGACTACTGCCGCAAAGCCTGGCCAGGCCGCGGCCTCGTCAGAAGACTACTAGTTGTCCAGCTCCCGTCTCGACGCCATGAACCCTCGACTTGGTCTTGGCTGTCTTCTGACCGAGAGCCGCAGGTCACTCGCTTGTATCCGATGCCGCCAAGAGGGACCTCGCCCTCTGGGTTGGCCACCCTCATTTTGCCTGCCTGCGTTTCTTTTCTCAGAACGTCCGTGGTATTCATCTTCCGTACCCGCGCGCCGTCTTGTTTGTACTTCCTCTTTCGATCCTGTGCCGCTACGGTTCTTGTCATCCCAGCTAGGCTGGAAGCCCATCACCGCAAGAAGGTTGTAGAGCATGCAAGGTAGCTTCAATCTTGGTCTGATCTCACTCTTACCTTGTCCATGGTGGCTAGAAAGGAAACACTCCACAGTCTTTGGCCATCTCAAAGGGTTCCATGCGTTGCCTCAGCCCCGGAGGTCTATTCCGTCATGTGGGAAGGATTACACACTTCGCTGTGACGAGTCCATCGCAGCTGAAGCCATCCGCGAGTACTCGTGCACCAATGATGCCCTGCTCGGTGTCACCAGCCGGGTCCGCATCTCTCCCATGGATCTCCCCCTCCGGCATTAACACTCTCCTCCTTGTCCTATATAGTTTGATCACCTCCAGGTGTCGACTCCACCCCATGACATCTGGGCTGTTCCCTGCCCCTGTCTGTACCCTTTTTTCTTCTTTTCCTTCCCCCCTCCCCTTCTCTGCTGTCAGCCCGGGAGCTGTCTTGTCCTAATCCCCCACTGGTCTCTGGGGTTCAGGTCGATACTGGCTGACCATTGTTCGTTCATCTAATAATACCTTGTCTCTCCCAGCTCTCCCCTTCAGCTCGCCCGTGTCTTCCACCGACTCTTTTCTTGCTGCCGGCATCCCCTCTTCTCTTCACGTCACAAGTGCTCTAGGTGGAAACAGAACATCGATGCTCGGAAACTATTTTGACAACACCAAACAGTAATACTGGAATAATAATTTGGACTCGACACCTGGTGGTCAATTCGTCGTCATGGCGAGGTGGAATCGTCTGATCACATGGGGCCTTCTCTTAATCTTCCTTCAGGTGGCTGTTGCTCAAGCCTTGGTGCCCGTCAGACGTCAAGAGACCGGGACTACTACAGCAGCCGTTGCCTCTTCTACTTTGTCACGAAGCGCACGAGATGCCGAAACTACTGCATCACCGGCATCTTCAATAAGGACAACGGCAGTCGCTACCACCGAGTCGCCTTCTGTCTCCGCTACGGTCTCTAGTCCTCCCATCATCCCAACTGGCGGCAGCACCTCTGGAAACTCGAGCCTTGAAAATTGTAAGTGGACGTCTGATCAAACACCCAATATTCAGATCAATTCATAGAAATGGCTGACATCTTCTACAGCTACCACCTCGGAAGGAGAGCTACCTATTGAGCCAAAGGTCACACCAGGTTGGGCTGTAGCTGGTGTCATCTTGCTCTGCACTGGGGTCATCTACAGCTTCATTGGTATCAAGAACACAGTCTTGCACACTGCTTTCTCCGTTGCGTACGTCGTCGGCTTGGGCATCACAGTCTTGGTCGTCTATGTCATGGTCATTCCAGTGTCCAACGGATCCCAAGGAGCGTATGTCGTCGCAGCCGTCTTACCGGCCGTCGCAGTTGGCGTTCTCGCTTCCTGGTTCTTCAAAGAAATTACGGAATGCCTGGCATGTGCTCTGGGCGGATTCTGCTTCTCAATGTGGCTGCTTTGCCTCCATGAGGGCGGCCTGCTCACGGGAGTTGGGAAAGTTATTTTCATCATTGCTTTCTCACTAGTGGGCTTTGCATTGTACTTCAGCCGATGGACCCGTGACTGGGCGCTCATGTGTACAATCGCTTTCAGTGGTGCCACGGCAACTGTGCTCGGAATCGACTGCTTTAGCCGGGCTGGCCTGAAGGAGTTTTGGGCGTATATTTGGGATCTGAACGACAACCTATTCCCCCAAGACACCACCACATACCCACTGACAAAGGGCATTCGCGTTGAGATCGCCGCTATAATTGTAATCACCATTATCGGCGTCATTTCGCAGAAGAGGTTGTGGAATGTCATCAAGGATAAACGCACGAAGCGGGAAGAGGAATTGGCCGAGGCTCAGCGTGCCCGTGATGACGAAGAAGCCAACATTGGAAGGGAACTCGAGGCTCGCACCGCTTTAGAGCGACGAGCGTGGGAAAGAGCACACGGAGATTACACGCCGGACAGCGATGACCACGACTCTGGCTTTGCTCGCGACAGCGAGAGCGAGAAAGCTATTCGATACAGCCAGAGCACCGCTACTCCGCGATCACGCGCCCCTCCCGTCGCTGAAATGCAAGGGTCGGATGTTCCTCCCACTGTTCCCCCCAAACCAGAATCTCCAGGTCTGATGGTATCCGAAAAGGAGAAAGAGGTTGTTGTGACAGTACGCGTCGCTCCAGATGAAACTCACACAGAAGCCGTTGCTGCGATCAAGGCCGCTGATCAGACGGAAGAAGTTTCCAAAGACAATGCTGTTGTTCAGAGCGTGCAAGAGGTGGCGCCGGTTCCTGAAGTGGTACCTTTGCCATTCAGCTTCCCAGATGAGGAGGCTCTAGCCAGAGACAGGGAAGAGCGGTCCACGATTGCAACCTTTGCCGATGATGATGAAGATATTCAGGCAGGCGTCGGAAGCAAGCGGAGTTCCTTTGCGAAGCGACTCTCTCAGAGTTCGGTACAGCTGATGCGGAAGGTCTCTCAGCGGACATCGATGTCGCATCGCAAGGAAGAAGACGGTGATGAGGTGCTGGCGGTGCTTCAACGTCCAAGGGATGACGACGCTGTTTCTCTCGCGGCAACTGTTGACACTCAGAGCGATAGCGGCGCCGGAACTGTGAACGATGAGCACCGGCGCAGTATTGAGATCAACGCACAGCTCTCTGGGGAGCAACGGTCAAGCATCAAGCCGGAGACTACTACATCAGCGTCGGCATCTCGACGAAGCGTCACCGACAGGAAGTCTGTTCGACCGGTGTCAGCCATGACAGCAGTCACTGACATCCCAGTCCAGTCTCTAGCCAAGGATGCGACGACTCCTGCTGCTGTCGAAGAGAGTGCGCCGGAAAGCGCAGTCGGTGATGTCGCTCAAGAAAACAGCTCGGTGAAGCAGTCTGAGTCGGGCGAGAGTCGACAGCCCCCGGTCCCTTCTCAGCAAGCCAAATCAACAGCCTCTCTTCATTCCACGCCTCTGAATCTTACCCAAGAGCGTCTGCCGCCCAGCTTCTCCAACGTTGCGCTACACTACCGCACAAACGAATGGGCAAAGCACCTTAGCCAGGCCGACGCACCCGAGCCTGAGATCTTGAAGATCGGAGACGACAGACCGCAGACCCGGGAGGCCCCGGCTCCTGTGCACGTCGAGGAGCTTAAGCAAACGGCCTTGTCCGCCACGCCTGCACCTGCACCAGCTCCTTTGAGATCGTCCCCTCCCGTCGCGACACCTCCACCGGCCTTGACGCGACCCATGTCGACCCAGTCGCCGAACCGTGGTCACTCGAGGAACAGCTCGTACCAGTCACATCGCCGTGCATCAAGCAAGACGCAGTTCGAGCCCATCGCCGAGGAAGAGCAACAGGCACTTTCTCGAGCCGCGAGCACTAGGAGTGGCGCCTCTGGCATCGCTCTCTCAGCAACAGCTCCAGCTGTCTTTGTCCCCCCGCCGCCACCACCCGGCATCATGTCTTACGACAGCCCTCAGAGCTTGATCGCACAGAGAAGCGTCGCTCTGCGTAATAAGACATACGGAATCCTTACCGGCGCCAACAACATGCCCGAGATCTCCGCCGCCTCCTATAGAACACCCAGCGAAACCGGCTCCATGTACAACCATCCCGTCTACCCGTCACAAATGCCGCCAGCTTCTCTGGACGACCTCCCATTGAGCCAGCGCAAGGAGATTATCCGTCGCCAAAGCAGTTTCGGCACAATGCGATCCTCCCTCGAAGGCTCCAGATCAGCCAGTGGCTCCTACGTACCCAGCGTCTCCGCCGAAAACCTCGCCTTCGACTCTCACCAACCCATGCGCTACTCCAACGTCCCCTCGCAGGACGCCCGCGACGCCCGGCTCGCCAGTTTCCGGGACTCGGTCCGCGCCGATCTGCGCGCCGGCACGGCGTCTCCCGCGCCCGCCGCCAACGGCCGCGACGTGGCACTGAGCATGTTCCGGTCGCCGAGCGCGTCGAACTTGGCGGCCAGCCAGGCGGCCGCGCGCGAGGCCGAGGTGCAGAGGAACATAGACCTGCAGCGGAGCTTCATGATGAGTCAGAAGGAGGCGGAGGCGAAGCGCAAGGAGAAGGCGAGGATCGATAAGGAGAGGTCCGATCAGGCTTTCACGAGGAGCATGCAGAGCGGGGAGATGTTTGAGTTGCACCGTGAGGCGATGCGTAGGATGCAGGACCAAGCTAGGAATGCTTCGGGTGATGCATAAATCTTTTTTTTTTTCACATTATTCTCTTACATTTCTTTGACTCTCTTTTACACAATATTGGTAGATACCCTGGTTTGGAAAATACGGTCACATCACAGAAGGTTGGGGAAACCATGGAAAAACAGCACGTTGGAAAATCGGTCAAGGATTACAGCATGATACAGAAGATGGAAAGATGTTACTTTCACCAGATGACGGAATACGAGGTTAAGAGGAAATGGGTTTATGACACGCGAGAAAGAGACTGAAGCGGGATGAGTTTGACCGCTAGTGTTAGTCGTAAACGTAATCAGTAAAATCAACTTATTCAAATAATCTGTTCTCTCATACAATACTCGTGAGACCTGGATGAAAGGTATTATACTCCTCCAGATTGTAATTCTTAGGTTTTGGTACCACTGACTCTGAGGAATCCAGAGAACCGGGGGAAGGAAGAGGATGCTATTCGAGCACCCTTGGATGGTGTTCCCAAAGCCGCGGAGCCGATATGAAAGAAAACTCCGGCCGAGAATAACTAATTTACACGTGCTGCAGCTCATCAATCACACGCCGGGGATGAACATCGGCCAAATCGGCACGGCACCGAAGCGGAGAAACCCTGAAGTTCTCGAGATCTCGTATCTCGCCTTCGAAGCTGAAGCTTGCTTACTCGAGAAGATGCAGTTGTGCATTCCAACCCATCTCTAAGCACCTTTGCCAATTGATTGTTTTCGCTTCCAGAGATCAAGAGACAGGCGAAAACTTCCTATACAACAATCTTGGTCGACCCTTCTACCTTCGGACGACACCGATGTCGGGATTCTCGCCGCGCCCGCGCCTACGCCGCCCGGGTATAACCCGGCCCCGCCCTCGCGACGCGAAAGCAACGACTCAAATGACTGACCTGGGCGTTGGCGTCATCCATTCTCTTTCCCGCGCATTGCAATCAATCACCTAATCGTACCTATCTGCGGAGGAAGACTTGTCCGGGGTTTGGGAAAAAGTACTGTGTGAGTGACGGCCAAACGTTCGGCTTGCCGTACATGGGGGGAATTCTTGTACCCGTATGTTTTGGGACGTGAAGTCGTTTTAACCTTAATCCAATACAACTTACCCTCTCGATATAAGTCTTGGCAACTCATTGCAGGCTAAATTTCTCACCTTACCACACTTTATCTCGATAAGTTGGATCGGTCAGAGATACGGAGGTCCTCCGGTCCCGCCACCGCATTTCAATAATCCTATTACCTCAAGGAAACTCCACCTTCCGCGCCCGTCCCGACGACACACATACCTCCGATGTCTCACTCGGCCTGAGCCGGCCCAAGAGAGAAGTGTGTGTATTTCTTAGAGAGCCATGACCGGCCCCGTGGACGGCCGCGACGAGAGCGCAAAGCTCGAGTCCGCGCCGACGTCGACGTGGGCGCGCATCCGGATTAAGGCAGTCAAGATCTTCAAGCTCGTCTTGGCGCAGTGGCTCGTTATCGGGTTCGCTCTCAGCTGTGTTTTTGCGTATTTTTTCCCGAGTAAGTTGGCATCTACAAGGGTCTTTTCATGTGAGATGGAAAATGGGCGAGTGAATGAGAGAGAGGGAGGATAGAAACAGAGTGAAGTTGAAGATGCGCATTTGACTAACCAATTGAACTACAAGATGTCGCGGCTAGAGGTGGACCGATCAGGTCAGAGTACACCATCATCTACGGCGGCATCGCCATCATTTTCCTCGTCAGTGGCTTGCAGCTCTCGCACGCGAAGCTGAGGCAGAATGTGACCAACTGGCGGTTGCATATTATTGTCCAGGGGATCAGCTTCATCGTTATCCCCGTGATACTACTAAGTAAGTAACTCACTTGGCGTGACCATGCCGCTCATAACCCCCCAATGGTTGGAGACATTGGACGAAACATCCACCTCAAGAATACATGCTAACACGACTCCCAAAGTCATCGTCCACATCATCATCGCAGCAGGCGGCCTCCGCTCCCAAGCGCTCGCAACCCCCATCATCGTAGGCATGGTCGTCGCCTCCTGCCTGCCAACAACAATCGCCTCCAACGTCGTCATGACCCGCGCCTCGGGCGGCGACGACGCCGCAGCCATCATCGAGGTCGTCATCGGCAACGTGCTGGGAAGTTTTATTTCCCCTGGTCTGATTTACGGCTTCATTCCCAAGACGCCCGAGTTCGCCGACTGGCAGCCCGCGAACCCAAGTACCCTGGGCGCCATGTACGCCAACGTGCTGAAGCAGTTGGGCTTGAGTGTGTTATTGCCGTTGGCTGTGGGACAGGTTGTGAGGTGGTTTTGGGAGAAGAAGGTTGATTGGGCGCTGAGGACGTTTCATCTTGCTAAAGTATCAACGTTTTGTCTGATTTTGCTTGTTTGGTGAGTTGACGTTGCCCCTTTTTACACGATCTGCGTCACTCTCCGTTACTCTTCGTCACCGTCTCTTCATGGTTCTTGGGACTAACACTCATGCGTGTAGGACAACCTTCTCAGCAGCCTTCAAAACAGGCGCCCTCTACGTGACCCCCCACCCCTCCATAATCTTCAACGTCTTCATGAACCTCGCCCTCTACGCTCTCTTCACCCTCATATGCTTCTACGCCGCCCGCCCTCCCTTAGCGCTTTGCAACGCAATCAACCCCCGCCTCGCTGACTCCCGCCCCCTGCAGTCCCGCTGGATTCCCAACTTCGTCCGCCGCGCTGTCACGGTTCGACAGTTACCGAGAGAGCAGATGATTGCCGTCTGCTTCTGCGGCGCGGCCAAGACGACGTCGTTGGGAATTCCGCTGGCGACGGCTATGTGGACGCAGGCGGATGATTTGACGAGAGCGCTGATCCAGATTCCAGTGTTGTTGTATACTATTGAGCAGGTTTTCATGGCGCAAATTTTGGTGTATGTTTTTAAGTGGTATTTGAGGAGGGCTGCGAAGGCTGAGGGGGATGAGGAGGGGGCCAAGGTTGGGTCTGGGGTTGCGAGTGTGGCTCGGCCAGGGAGGGTGGAGGAAGAGGGTGATCGCTCGTATGGGAAGTCAATTGAAGAGATGGATAGTGAGAAGAAGGGCAGTGAGGTCAGGGACGGGAGCAATGTAGTGCCCGTTAGGACCATTTCTGAGGCATAATTGGTGTCTATCACGCAGCAGCTTCTAACGTGTGTAACACAATTAACGCCGCGCAAATTAATGGGGAAAAGTGAGCGCAAGGAGTGAACCGAAAGCTTCACTCCACTTGTTCTCAGCGATACATGTAATGGTGTGCATTGGCTAAGGCTGCCTCACTTATGAATGGAGCTGATTCATGACTGCTGGCATCATGACATAAACCAATCAATTGGTGGCTTTGGTAACATTGAATGTACGTTCCGTGCAATTCCACGAAAGATAACGCAGCCTGCATGACTACGGTAATGTCATCTTACCCCCCCCCCCTCCCCAAAATTTGCTCTTTTTGGGCCGTCAAGCGGCAGTCAGGCGGATTCTGCAACATAAAGTCAGCTTGTTCCTATGTCAGGTGTGCAGCTTCAACAGACCCTCGTCTACCATCGTTCGCCTTTCAGCCTACATATTCGGCGGTGGGCTCGCCCCGAATCCACCTTGATCATGGCCACCGCCGGTTCGGAGTGTCTCGAAAACCAAAACTCCACGGACTGTCTGCTCCGGGCTCTTCTGAACGTTCTTGCGGAGCAAAAACAAGCACAAGATGCAGGCATCGATTGGGATCCCATCACCTTCGGCTTTACGCTTTTGATTGGATTGGTAGCCTCCATGATTGCTCTTGCTACAGTCTTCCAAGCTGTTCTTGCGGGTGGGAAAGGTGGTCGCAGAGCAAATGCTCGAGCTATCGGGAGATGGTCGAAGCGGACGACAAGGAAATGGATATTTTCCGAAATGAGCTGGAGCTACACCGCTTTCACTCCTATTCTCAGGTTGAAGGAGCTGGAGCAAGGGATTCAGGAAATAACTCGTCTCCGAGAGAAAGAACGAGAGAATCCACCGGAGTCGGGACCAAGCTTGAGCCTATATAGCAAGATTGTCATGTGGGTGACATCCAGCAAGCTTGCCCCCCTGTGGGTAAAGAAGAAACTGAAGGATGTCGGAAACCTCGCCTCTGACGTGGCGCCATATCCAGCTACATGGCTTGGCCTTTTCAAAACCACTGGACTGGAAGATTTCGACAACGAGTTCGACCTTACTCCGGTTACTGCCGACTACCTTCCTGACGACTTCATCGCCGTCCCTGCTTCTGCTGAGGTTGGCGCAATCGTAGTCATCACAGCAGCTGCTGGAGTCCAGCGATTAGATGTCGACACAGATTTATACCCAGTTATTATTGGCTGCAACTTCCAATTCGATTTTCGTCAGCACCCAGTTCTTGGTGTAATTGGGGCATTTTCTGAGCATCGTCGGCGCGGAGGCAATTCTTTCATGTCGACACCTACTTTAGAGAAGCTCAGAGAGGCAGGGAAGCATTCGAACGGCACTATTGAACTACGGAACATTTATGACGTTCCAGAGTTCAATATGCTTCAGGGCAAGGGTGGCCAGAGTATGCTGAAGGTAATCCAATTTTTCGGCCGCAGACACAGAGGGCCGGACAGCTTCGTACTACACTACGATGTCATCCACCATCACTGCAGACGTCTCGCCAGCTTTATTTTGGCCAAGTCGCCAAAGTTCACCCCGTCGCTTTTCCCTGCAAAAGTGTGGGAGGGTCACAATCCATTCACAGTGTTCGCCCTCAATGGGAGATTTTGGGCAAAAGTCACACTCCGTGAGTTTGATGAATCAAACTGGGAAAAATTGTCTAAAACGGATTTGGATATTTTCGCGAATTCAAAGTTGAAGAGAGCTGGGGGGTTAGCTTGGGAAAAATTCGAATGGTTCAATTCAAGGGAACACGCTCCTGATGCGACAGTAAGTGAAGCAGGGTTTGAAGAGTGGGAGGCATTGCGTTTCTCCTCTCTCAGCACTTACAGAGCTCTTTTACTGTGCCTGAGCCTTCTCTATCATCCCACGCAACTCCGGACGAAAATGGCACAGTTTCCATTTGTGAAAAGAGAGGAACTTCGTCAAGCCGTCCATTCAGAACTAGAGCGGGCAGACCTCTGGTTGTCAAAAGCCGTGGAGGATGAGAAATATCTTGACCATCGAATCCAACTTCTGTTTAGTACCTCTTTGATTCTATCACAAGCAGAGAGTATGGCACAAGAAGGCTTATTTGAAGTTCCGCATGTGGCAAACCCAACTTCAGAAAAGCCGGAACAGCAGCAGCCGCCACCGACTGCGCAGGGCATTCACTACAAGATGCTGCAAGCGCTTGGCAGCCTCATTGACAACTTCCATCTCGGCAAAGATACCCTGGAAGCCGCGCTGAAGATACGACTTGATTCTACGGGCAATCTAATACACCTGCGATCTCATCTACGTGACGATTTATTCTCTGATCCATCGACACAAGTGGAGCTGCAATTGACTTCCGAAGACAAAGAAAAACTGAGACATTTCCAGAGACAATTGAAGGACACTACGTTCCAGATTGAACGCTTGATAGGATCCGAATACGATATGCCCTCCACGTTCTTCAACACATATCAAGTGCTAAGCAGATTAGCCACAGTACTAGGTCGTCAACCGAAACCAGAGGACCAAAACGAATGGACTACGAGGCCGAATGAGAAAATTGATGATGTGATCATCTATCGCTCTCTCCTCATCGGAGTGTTGTTCAATACAGCCCTCGACAATTCCGAGTTACTCGAATCAGGACTGTGGGATCGCGTCGTTCCCGTCATCTGAGAATCTGAATAAAGTTAAATAGCATGTCTATACTTTATGAAGTCCTTATTTTCCATTGCTGGTCCGTTTATCTTGGTGATTGAACCGTCCATTCTACTGGTGAGAGCTTGATTACTGGTATTTAGGATCGATGAGCTTCATGAGACTCCGATAGGTTTTCACTGAGTGGCTCAAAAGGGGATAGACTGCTTGCAAATTGCTCATCGTGAGACAAAAGACGAAAGAAAAGGACGTAGGGAAACCTTCTCGAATCAATGCATTATTCATCTCCTCCATGACTGGCGGCGTCTACGACCTTTTTCTGATGATTCCGGGGGCTTCGTGTCACAGACTCGCTGCCTCTATGTTAGCCGCGCTGTTTGTAGACTGCTTGAGACCTTCCAGCTGACTTACCCTCCGACGTTCCCTGAACTCATCGTAGATCCCACGCCAGATATCTCTCGCCGCGCAACTTCCAAGTCCATCCATCATGGCCACACATTTAGGCTCTCTCTCCCGGACCAAGTTCTCAGGGGCCTCTAACCAGGGCTTCGGCAGAGGCCAGTCAGAGAAATGCAGCAACTTTGCCTCGTTGTACACGGCGACTGGATCCCAGGTTTCCTCGTCACTGCCAAGGTACCATTGGTGGTTGTCTTTGCTGAACTCCCCCGTTAAGAGATCGTAAGGCCGGTGCGGTAAAACCATGGCACTATCCTGGTATAATTCGTTGACGAGCTCCATATCATAATCATTTCTTCCGGCATTGTTGATTTTGGATGTGATGCGAGTGAATTCCACTTGACTTGGTTGAATAAGAATGACTTGGGAGGATAGGATGTGTTTATCTGGTTGAAGCCAATATGCACGTGGCATGGCGACTGTGGTTGGGGGAAGAGAGAAGAGCTCGTCCATGTGCTGGAGAAGAGTTGAATCCGAGTCGATTGAAAGTACGCGGTCGTATTTTGTCTGGTTGAAGGCAAGAAGTTTTGTGAAAGAGTCCGCCCAAGTTGCTAAATAAGAGATCCATGTCAGCTCCTTGGCGGCCGGTGTAATGATCCTGGAGGGACGACTTACGATCTGAGCCTGTTCGATGTTGAACAGATATTGGATCAAGCTTTACGTTGTACTTCTCCCGAGCAAGGATGAGGAGTTTGGCATCATCTGATGAACCTTCATGTTCTCTCTCATGAGGATCAGGGAGCATGACGGAGGGGTACATCAGAACTCGACCCGCTTTACTCTCCAAGTATTGCAGCCTCTCAAAGAACATGACCGAGTTACAGAGGTAGTCTTTATTAGTGACATACTGGACGTACGCAAACCGAGACCAGTCTACAGACTTGACGTCAGGTGACTCGTCGTGTTGAGAAGTTGAGTAAGCTACTCGAATGGCTTCAATCTGATCACGGTTATAGACCACAACACCAAATAGCAACAACAGCCCAGCAATAGTGAACGCGGCCAACTTGAGCTGTTTCAAGGTAAATATTGTGTGGTAAGGCCTGCCCTTCCATGATGAAGAACCCGAGGAGGGTGCATCATCGGTATGAAGCGGCGTGTAGGCAAAGCGGCCGTGGAGCCACTGAAGCGGCATAATAAAAAACGTAGGCCAAGCCGCAAAAACAGTGATCGAAGAAAGCAAAACGCGCAGAATTCTAGAGTCTCGTTTGAACTGGGGACACGAGCTGGGGATATAAGTGCGCACAGAGATTGTGGCTCACCCACTTCGGGAAACATGCTTAAGCATCTGCAAGGGGGTAAGGCCAGCGGGAAGACATTGCCAAGTCCATCCAACCGCTTTTTGCCCCTGAACCTGGAGAGATCGGCAGATGGAGTCACGATGTATGCCATGGCTGCCGCGATTCCGTGATTCCTCGGCAAGGACCGCGTGGGCAACGGCATCTGGCCTTCTTGGCCTGTCGCTGGGATGAGACACTGTCTTGCTGTCATTTTGCGAGCCGAGATCTTTTTGAACAGCGTCAGGTACGCAAGAGTCCCTGTATTGGTTCTCGGCCGAAGCTGAAATAAAAGCAGACAGGGTGCTTGTTGTCTCAAACCGTTCAGCTGGAACTAGACGCCATCGGCTGAAGCCAGATATTGTTGCTCTCTGCGGGTCAAGCTGGGCAGAGTCCCACTTCATGAAAAGAACGCGCAGGCGAAATGCCTATGATTTCAAACAGTGCCTTTGTCTGTTTATGATATTTGTGGTTGCAATTTGCATGAGACAAAGGCTCTTTGAGCTGGCGATGCCTATGGTGATGCTGGAGCAAACAACTCGATCCGCTCTTTGGGCTCTCTTCCTCCTTCTACTGCGATTTCAATAACTCAGACGCTACTACGCATCTAAAGCCGGGACCTACAACAGCGCCGAGGCCTCGCAGGTAGGCAGCGGCTCCATGTCCGGCATCGTGTTCCGGCCAAACATCAAGAGCTGGATGGTCGGGATTGACCCGGCCGCCCAGCCGACCCAATGCTGAGTCGACCGTATGCGGCTCAAATCAGGCACATCCGATACCGTAAGCCCTCTTCGGACCTCGCTGGCTCTGCGCTTATCTTTACTTCGTCGATAACTAATTTCATGACATACCGTGATCCGTGGCATCTACGGCGCTCGCAACTGTGAGGGGCCTATCCTATCTACTGCAGACAAGTCATAAATGACAGCCAGCGAATTCAACATTCATCGAATATTTCTTATTCACATAAGGACACAGAGAAAGTGAGATGGGGAAAAGGCCGAGCCGACATGGTTCGTGGCGCGTTTACTACACCTTGGAACCACCTTAGCCCAAAGTCTGGTTCGGCAGTTCTGAAAGGCTTACAAAGTCCTTTTCAGTTGCTGGTTGACAAGCCATGTGAGATCTGAGTGATACCTACACGAAGTTCCTAAGCGAGGTTCAAATGTAACCGAAAGCATAAAGTTTAGCCGGTAATCACAATCCAGCGAGACAACCCACATCTCATATTCCAGTTCACTCCTTGATCGACATCAGATTTAAGCCTTCTCAATTCGGTATTTCATATCCAAACTACATATTGGATCGCAACGAAAGAATCTTCATACATCATCATGAGCAGCTCAGTGCTCTCTGTACATTTCCATAAATGATATGCATATCCAAGCTTAATGGATGCCCTTTACCCTCCTCTCCCAATGCGTCAACATTCAAACAGGGTGATATATACTTAGGCCTTCTTGATGAGACTGTCAAAGAGGGGCTTAAGGCTCTTGGCGCTCTTCTTGGGGTATCTCTTCTGGTCGTTCTCATAGTCGACAAAGGTGACGCCGAAGCGAGTCTCATAGCCCTCGGCCCACTCGAAGTTGTCCATGAGGGACCACGCCATGTAGCCCTTGACGTTGACACCGTCCTTCTCGTGTGCATCGGCCATGGCCTTGACGTAGCCGTCAAAGTACTTGACACGGAAGTCATCCTCGAGGATCTGCTCAAGGGGCATGTCGTTCTCGCCCTTGAGGGAGGTGCCGTTCTCTGTGACATAGATGGGCGGGTAGCCGTAGCGCTTGGAGAGCCAGACAAGGAGGTTGTGGAAGCCCTGGGGGTTGGGGCGCAGCCAGAAAGACTGGGTCTCTTCGCCAATGTTCTCGCCGCTCTTGGACTCGAAGAGGGTCTCGAGGTTGCCGAGGAAGTCGTCCTCCTCAGGAGGGGTGGTCTTGTGCTTGATGTAGTTGGCCGTGTAGTGGTTCATGCCGTAGAAGTCGTTGGATCCCTTGACAAGGGCGAGTTCCTCGGGCGTAAACTCGGGCAGGCGGTCCCCGAGCTGCTTGAGCATGGAGTCAGGGTACTTGCCAAAGTAGATTGGGTCAGCGAACCAGGAAATGGCGAACTCGATCTTGCGGTCAGAGGCCTCGACGTCCTCAGGGTCCTCGGGATCCCATGGGTAAGTGGCATCACCGTTCAAGGTGATACCGATCTGGCCACCATTGGTGGGCTTGAACTCCTCACGGTAGACCTTGACTGCGCGGCCGTGGGCGACGAGCAGGTTGTGGCCAACGATCCAAGGTTCGCGGGAGGAGTCACCGATGGCGGACTTGCTGCGGTCCGAGGTGTGGCCAGGGGCGAAGAAGCCACTGCTGTAGCCGAGAATGGAGGAACACCAAGGCTCGTTGAAGGTGATCCAGTTCTTGCACTTGGGAATGGCCTTGAAGACGATGCGGGCGTAGTGCTCAAAGTCGAGAGGGAACTCCTCACGGTTCAGGAGACCACCGTAGCGCTTGTCGAGTCCATCGGGGAGATCCCAGTGGAAGAGGGTGATGAAGGGGGTGATGCCAGCCTCAAGAAGGTCGTCGACGAACTTGATGTAGTGGTCAAGGCCGGCCTGGTTGATGGGGTCGTTGCGACCACCCACAGGGATGATTCTCGACCAGGCAAGGGAAAAACGGTAGGTGTTTGCGCCAACGGACTTGAGCAGGGCAATGTCTTCGGCAGTGCGGTTGTAGGAATCGCAGGCAACGGCTCCGGAGCTGCCATCGGCAATCTTGCCGGGGACGGCGCAGAAGGTGTCCCAGATGGAAGGACCACGGCCGTCCTTCTCGGCGGCACCCTCAACCTGGTAACTGTAGAGGTGGACAAATAGCGTCAGCAGGGGTCTCGCATGTTGTGTCGTCGTGGTCGCTAAATGAGGAGAGAGGGGAAAGATGAGAGTGGGGGCAGCTCGGAGGGGAAGTGGAATTTGCAGGCGGGACGGGAAAGACGGAGGGAGGAGGGCGAAGTGTGGTGGGAGAATGCTTGTAAGTCGTCCAAATCGGGATATCGGCGGAAGAGGGCGCGAATATGCATGGTGATAACAACCAGACCGGGGCATTGGGGATGGGCCGAGCCGGGTTGATGATGGGATGAAATACATACGATGCGGTGGCAAAGCCCCAGAGGAAGTCGTTAGGAAGAGACATGATGGGCGGGCTTGAAGGGTGACCTGCTACGGAGAGGAGAGTTGGTATGATGATTCTCAGAGAGCTGGCAGTCTGCGAGACACCTACGCTATGACTGATGGAGGGGTTTCGATGGGCTTGACGGTGGGATGGTGATGATGATGGGACAGCCAAGAGCAGAAAATTTGCCCCGACGAGAAACGAACCACTTGATAACAAGTGGTCAGAAGAGATCGAGAGGAGGGCTAAGATGAAAAGAGGAGGCGACGGAGAGAGAAGGGAGCAAGATGGATCGTACAGACGGGCAGTGAGGTGCTGCCACGATACTTATAAGATGCAAAAAAAGACGGAAGGAAGCAGCGCGGCGCAATTAAAACGGCATTGTGACCTTGGGATGGACGGGGGTACTTGGACGTCCTTAGTAGGTTTAGGCAAAAGGAAAGGTAGCCAGATACAAGGATTACTCGAGTATCATAAACTAAGGTAGACGGGGCAGGGAAGAGGGAAAAAAAAAGATGGGACAAACACCCGCATCGTGTCAAGGTATCCGTCTGTACCAAGCGTGCAGGTGTGCAGTAAGAGTGAGGTATAGACTGGGCACATCAGACAACGACATGGGACGGGTGGACGTGGTATCAGGTAGCGCCTTGGTCAATCTGGTACTCTGGACGTCTCCAATGTCGGACCGTCGACACCGAGAAGCTAGGACTAGAACATGGCCCGAATTGGCATTGGCATTGGCGTCGGCGTTGGGGGATGGGTCGGAGGCGTGATCTGACAAGTTGGATTGGCAAAGATGAGGCGTCCAACGTGAGGTTTCTTTGCCCGCCGGTAGCGTCTACTTTGAGCGGTGTACCTATCTCGTTACCCAGATGGCGCGGGGATTTTCTTACAGTAGATTGTGCATGGAACACCGAAAAGAAGCGCATCGTCATGTTCCATTCGCTAGAGTCAGCAGAGGCTACGGGAAAGATGGAAGGAATGAAGGCAATAACCTAAGTGTATATCCACGGCAGCTGCCGCCAGTAAAGTGACCTTGTGCAACCTTGATGTACATGTACATGCAATTCTGTAAGAGGCAAGCACGTCCTCATCACGATGCCTCTTTCCAAATGAATTCGGAGGCAATGGGAAGGAAGGTACGAATAGGCAAGTATCTACTCCCTTCTTGCCCTCCTTGGGGTTTCTTCGACCCGACACCTAACAGGGGAAGTGCATCTGCGCCTAGGCCAGGGGCGCCTTCCATTACCCCGCCGTGGGGTCCCCTTTTTCCCAAGTGCCCCCATTTCTCTCCTCTCCGCCGCTTGCCAGAGTCTAAGAGAGCACACGACGGCCCGTCTATCCGTCAAAACATGACCTTTTCTCTGCCCAGCTCGTCTTACCAGCACCGGCCTCCAAGAGCCAATTCGAAACACGAACAAACCACGATTCCTCACCTGACGAGCTCCGAACTTATATGATTGGACACTTGTCTCTATTTGGCACAGAGCGCCAGCATGAATTCGCTGCAGTTTCTGCAGCCCACGCACCAAGTTGTCCTTACACATCACACACAGATTGCGCAAAACATACCGGTACCGACACATGCGCACACTGGATGGCCGGCGACATGCATATCACCAAACGCTGTCGCCAAAACTCCAGTGACGGCTCAATTCCGCCGGCCGCTAGCGCAATCCGAGCTGATCTCAATTTCTGATTGCCTCGCCAGAACCGGCTGGTAGCAGACATGCTCGCAGCACACTCTGCAAGGTCTCGTCCTACGCAATCGCTCGCATAAGGCGACCGACCATGGCCACGGGGAATCCTCCCGAGCTCTCCTCGACTCCCAGACGACGGGTAACCAGCCAATACTGCCATAATTTTCCTTACTTTGGTCGCGCCCAGTCCAAATGTACTGTCAGAGTACCCCGGGTCCGCGAACAAAATCACGTCGCTTTCGATGAGCGGATGTCGGACGGGAGAGTCTCCCTTTCACCTCTATCTACATCCGGCTCGTCCAATGTCACTCCAATAAGCTTCTCCAAATCCGGCTATCGTCCCATAATCTCCGCACCATCCAGCTTTCTCGCACCCAGCTTCATAACGAGACTCTGATATAGACGGCATCTCAACTTCAGAACACCTAGCATTATCTCAAGGCCCCTTCCGGTTTTCTTTTTCTCCGTGCGGCGCTTCTCTGAAGCGGCTCATGGATGTATAGACACGACTTTACGAAGAGTTGCATCCTGCTTGGAATTCAATTCCGCCCCTCCAAGCCCGACAGCCCCAGCGTAAGCACCTTAGTCTGCGCGATTACAATGCGCCGCATCACATGAAATAACACCGATCTATTGTTTCTACGCGGAAGGCCAGGGCATCTTCCGGTCATTCAAGGAAACGATGCAATGGCTTTGTGTCTTCTCGATTTCGGTTGACGAAGCCGTCTGCCCGGCTGGCGGGGCCTTCACTTACAGCCAACAGGCCTTTGGTCCAGGTAGCGGAAGCTCGAAACGACTCAAAAACACACTACTTCCGGGAGATCATCGGAGATTTTGCAACTTGTATTCCCTGCTGGGGTATGTGTGTACATGGCCGCATTTACAGCTATCTCAAGGTACCTTCATCTTTGCTATAATCATCTTGAACGCTGCCGTCAGTAGAGCGCGCATGCCTGCCGGGCTCTTCGAACCGCATCTCAATTCTTTCCGTATCCGCCACGCAGCACATCTTCGCGCCAACTTTCCAAGACTGACGGGACAAAGTCTGCGCCAGGAGCATAGTCTTTGTTTTGGAGACTCTATCCAGAGCCTCACCGAGGTGTACGGAAGCCGGGACGAAGGTGAGCCGGCCCAGTTCGTGACGGCCCTGGACTCATTACGACCTACCCTGCCGCTGCAATGCACGGCATGGACAAGGCTTAATGCATGCCGTCAACAGCCGCATCCTCGTCTTCTCGGTCGTTCATTTTGCGTTTTCCGGGATGATTTGTCGTCATATTAACATCGCCATCCGCTGCTGGGGCCACGTCGGGAGCATCGTCTCCCTCGGTCCACTCTACAATCTCCCATTCAACCCTGATTTTCCCGTCTTTGCTATGATCAACAACCTGGCTATGACGCAGGTTGCCTAAACGGGTGCCCTCAATCATGCCCTCGAACCAAGGGACGCCCTGGGTTTCTCTCCCAATTACCGTGGTTGTTGTCGGAACAGCGGGCTGTTCTTCCGGCTCTTCAAACTCTGGAATCAGCCCCAGATCTTCCAGATCTCGTAGGTCTTCGCCTCGCAGGCTCGCAAGGGTCAGGTGGATGAACCCCGCCTCAGTAGGGGGTCTCTCGGTCCAGTAGGACAGCGGCGTGCCGCAGAAGCCGCAAAAGTTTCGTCTCGAAGGGTGGTGGTTGGAGGGTGATTCGAAGACGCGACGGATCGCCGAGTGCCTTTCGTCTGGGTAGAAGGCGTGGGTTGAGCTGTGATACCACGAGAGTGGCACTCGGATCATGGCGGCCAGTGGGGTTGCGAGAGGAACTCCTGCGGATCAGATCATGGGTTAGCGGAGCTTCCGCTCTCGAAGAGGGGAGGCATGATCGGCTGTATGCACGGCGGGATTATTTGAGAAGGCCTGCCCTCGGATATCACGAGAAATTGGCCAGGCGAAGCGACTTACTGTGCATTGAGTCTGTGTGGAATAGCACCTGGGCTTTCTCGGTGGTGCCTTGCGGGACCTCGATGATGTAACTGTTGCGCCCGCATTGGCAACCGCCGCGCAACGGACGTTGAAAGCTACTTTCGCTCATGGTCGTCATCTTTAGAAAGCGAGTCAGGTATCTGAAATGACGGCAATGGAGTGCTGAATTGGAGGAAATTAAAAAGGTTAAAGTCAAGCGCTCGCAGGTCAAAGGGCAGAGACGTTTGTCGATGTTTTTTGTTTGTTTGGCGATCTTTACCCCAAGCTGCAAGCAGGCAGGTCACTGCTTCACTGCCCCTCCGCAAGCGCAGTGTGAGGTGGGATGGCCCAGGGTGAGTGAGCATCGAAGATTCCAGGTGAAGCTGGCACCTGTCCTGGCTGCCCTGGAATGGTTCCACCACCCACTTGATGAGTTCATGCGCCAGCGCCAGCGCCACCAACCCGCGCCCGAATAAGGTCCCGATTCGGGTCTCGGCGAACCTTCCGTGCTGCCCCGGCCGCTGGGAGGCGCTGTCTGCGTGGGGCACTTGTAGTCACCTCATTAGCAGGCATACTATCCACGCTCTTGCTGTGTGTTGCGGCCAGACTCAATATTGTAACATCATGTCATGGACGTGAAGTGAAAGTGAACCTGGGACTTTCTATAGAGGCAGGCTACGTATGGCCATGTACAGAAACCGAAAGCCGATCAATCTTACGTACTTTACAAACTCGCAATGAAGTCTTTACACGCTACCTCTAGCCCCCCAGGCTGCATTACCAGGCTATTCCAGAGCATTTCTATCAGGATGCATTCCATGGGAAGGCATCTTGGAAGGTACTAGGTTTTGTAAGGTAGGTAGGTAGGTATCCCATCATCAACTCACATTCTTAGGAAACAGCGCCCCTGCTGCCCCCAAATCCAATCCATCCAACAAGTCCATCTCGGCCTCATCAAGCTCGAACCAAAATACGTCCCCATTCTCCCTGATCCTCTCCACCCCAGCGCTCTTCGGAAGCGGCACGAATCCGCGCTGCAGAGACCAACGGATCAGCACCTTCGCCGGCGTGACTGTACCCTCCGTGATCTCTCTCATTTTCGTGACTGCCGTTTCCCCGCCCTGTGGGTCTTCGTTGCGCCGGTTCGTCTCCGCCACCTGTCCGGATGACGGTAATGATACCTCCCGGACCCCGACACTGACACGGCGCCGGACCCGCTCTACGACCTCTTTCAACACAGGGTCCGTCCACCGTTGTCCGCGCGCGAGAGGGCTGTACGCTTGTACCACGATGCCGTTTTGTTGGCAGTAGGCGACTAGTTCCCGCTGTTGACACCACGGATGGAGCTATTCCCGCACTCATCAGCATCTCTCCCTCAATCAACTTTGCTCTGCAGACCTCTGTCAATGTCCTAACACGGCGAGGAAAGAAGACTCACCTCAATCTGATTCACACACGGCAACACCCCCTCGCAACCCTTCCTCATCTCCTCCAGCGCCTCAATGCCAAAATTACTCACCCCAATCGCCCTCGCCCTACCCTCCCTCACAAACCTTCCCAGCACGCTCCAGATATCCCTCCACCGCGCAACGGGACGATGTACGAGAATCAAGTCAACGTACCCTCCCTCCTTCTCCCCAGCAATTCTCATCACACTCCTCGAGACACTCTCATACATCTTCTCCCCGTCGCCATCCCACTGGCCAACCTTGGTCGTCAAAAACAGATCCTCCCTCTTGACTCCCCCTCTTCTTCCAGCGGCAGAAACACCAAGCCTATCATCGCACCCATCCGATGACACTTCCCCCCGCCGTCGCAAAAACACCCCAACAGCCCTCCCAACCTCCCCTTCGTTCCCATACAGCTGCGCGGTATCGACGTGCCGGTACCCGGCCTCTAACCCCGCCAGACAGGCAGCGAAGCATTCTTCCCCTCTGAGCTGGTAGACGCCGAGGCCGAGGCTTGGCATCGTTACCGTTGAGCCTGAGCCTGAGCCAGGGAGCGGGACGGGCTCGTTCATGGTATTTGTACGTGTAAGGTATGTGGCAGGACCCGCTGTAGCTTGTTCATGCGATCGTGAGGAGGGAACACAAGTAGTAAACGGCTGGGACTTGATGGTCAAGACACCAAATGACATCTGGGTGGTCGTGTGGCATGTGCTGGGTTGACTCACTGGCGTACAAGGTAAGGTACTAGGCAAGCTTACATGGACCCCACTTGCATAATGCCGTGAGTAAACAGTCACTCGATACTAAACAAAAACGCACTCAGTAAATCCTCGTGTTGCAAAAGACTCGCAGGGTCTCTTCCGAGAAAAATATTAACCTCTTTTGCTTCGCCGCGACGCCGAGTCGGCCAGCGTCAAAGTAGATAATCGTAGTGTTACATTCCATCCGACACCCAAATAAAAACGCCCAGCAGCCTCTCCACCCAGCCGATAAACACACCCAAAAGTCGAAAGGGCGCAATCAACCCGTCTTCTTCTTCTTCTTGGGCCTCTCCTCTTCCTCTTCTTCGTCATCCTCGCCATCGTCGCCGTCGTCATTATCCACGTCGCTCTCTTGGCTGCCTGAGCCAGAGCTCTCATGGTCACTGTCAAACTCTTCGGCAACGTCACTCTCACTCTCGGCGTTAAAGTCCTCATCGACACTCTCTTCGTCCTCGTCAGCTGAGCCACGGTCGGCCTTGGCGGCACCAACAACCTCCTCTTCCGAATCGTCCATGGCTTGGTCGCGCATGGCTGCGGCAATGAGGTTGGTCTCTTCATCGATTTCGTTCTTAACGCGCAATCCCTTGAGTCGGAAGAACTCCTCGAGCCCCTTGAGATCCTCGCGGTTGATGTTGCTGAACTGTGATGAGCCAGCGCCGTTCTTCATCTGCACGGTGATATCAAAGGTTGACAGCGCAGAAACGGCACCTCCAACACGAGAGAATGTGATGGATGCTGTTTGCTCGTAGGCAATATACGTCGCAGGTTTAGGCACAAACATGAACGCTTTCTCCAGGCAGTACAGGAAGCCTTCGCTGGCCTTGATCGAGCACTTGATACCGAACTGATTGCGGTGGCTGCGTGGATGTTAGCACAGATTCTCTCGCTCGGATGGTGAGACACATACGTCTGGAAGTCCTTGGCAGGCGTTGTGATCTTCTTGTTGGCAAGTCCTCGGAAGATGTAGGTGATGACTTGGTGGAGGGGTTGCTCGTAGTGAGGCTGAAGTCTGTCCTTGTACCGCTCGTCTATTTGCTCCTCGGTAAGGTTAAGATCAATCGTCACCTCCTCGTCCTTCTTGAACTGCATGACGATGAACGGGTATCTTGTCTGACCCTGGCGCAGGGGCGGGTCCAGGCCAACGCAAAGAAGCACATGGGTCTCGTCTGGCTTGGGAAGCACCATAAACTTCTTGATGGCGTCGTACTGGATCTTGTAGTCGTATGTCTTACCACGGAGACGGAAAGACGCATCGTACATGTCGATATCGAAACGACCTCTGTCGGAGCGTCAGAAACTGTCAGGTTATAGACAGCTTTAGCGATTCGCACATACCTGGGTGTGAGATGGAGAATGTCCAGGAACGTAGCGATAGTATCGCCTGCGGTCTCGCCAATCTCGGCCTTCTCCATCAGGGTATCGTAGAACAGGGTGACGGCGTTCTTCTCCTCTTCGCCGCCGGCGTCGCTACCAGCCTCATCGCCCTCCACTTCCTTCTTGACGGTTCCGGGAATGTAAAACCGCATCTCAACGAGCTGATCCTTGCCGGCACCCGCCTTCTTGCCCTTTCCGCGCGCACCGCCCAAGTGGCCATTAGTGCCAGTATCGTTCTTGTCCGTGGGAGCTGAGAATTCGACCGCGACCTCGTTACGACCCGCCAAGTTGGTGTTTGAGATTTCGGAGTAGGGGATTTCGAACGCAGGGCGGCTCTGGACGTTGAAAGACAGCTCAGCCTTTCCAAAGTCGGCCTTGCCCCAGTTCCATCCCCTCAGGGCGTGCTCCCTATTCTCAAGCGCGGTGCTGTACCAGTTCTTGAAGAGCTTAGAAAGACGCTCATAGTCCTTCACGCCAATAACCAAGTCAGCATTCCATTCATCCTGAATCTAACGACTGATGCGCGCTTCTTTACCTCTTGTTGGAAACCATCGAGCTGGATGATGCGCGAGTCTCGGTTGAGGATCTTGATTTCGTAGCCCTTGGCAGCTCGGCTCCACTGCGCCGAGGCAATTGTGCTGTGATCGAGAGTGAAGGTATCGCCGCCGCCGGAGGGCTTCCAACCGAGACCGCTCTCGGCAAATCTGCACTTGCCGCTCTCCTTGGAGAGGTCCAAGTAGATGCCGTCGAAGCTCTCTCTGGGAAGGGGCATCTCGTTAGCTATCGGACGATGGAAAAGTGGGAGAAGCACCAATTGCGCCTGATTGTAGAACAGTTGTTCCGCATAAGATCCATGATTTTTCGGCAATTGGACGGGCATGGGATCTGTGCGAAAGAAGGAGCGGGTGATGGGCACTCACATAGCTGCCATGATTGCTGGCGAGAGGTCGGAAGATCAAGAAAAGTATCGGCTGGTGTCGTCGTGATACCGTCGCAGAGAAAGCTCTACTCGAGGCGGAATATGTGAGGAAGTGACGTATGACTCGAATCGCTGATGTTTGAGATGGATAGGTGGGAAGGATAGAGATGGCGGTGCTTCAAGGAGGTCCCGCTGATGTCGGTGATAAAATTTCGGGCGTTGGCACTTCGCGCTGCACTTTCCCTGGTCGCGCAAGGCTACAGCAAGGTGGCACAGCGACGACGCGACTTTCATTAAGTGCAGTGGGCCCTTTCCTCGCTGCTGGCTGGACGTTTTTTCACCCCCTGGCGCGGGCTCACCTATGCGCTTCTCTATGAGTCCTGCTTACCTAATATCAAGGAGGTCCAATCCGGTCTAGCGCAACTACCCCGACTTGCCTGGGACGGGAGCTTGAACCTGGTGGGGAGCAGCCCTGGAAGCACACTTGCCAAGTGTGGGGTAATTTCCTACCGAGGACAGCCGGGCTTAAGCAGGAGCTGGGAGCTGGAGCTGTCGGGTTCGGTCCGTCAAAGTGTCTCAAAAAAAGCTGGACAATTGGGGTATGCCAGCAGGGACAGCTAGGCCTGGCTCGGGGATCGGGTAAGTGGAAGAGGGATTGTGGCTGGTAGCAAGAATGGCTGGCTTTCAATCGCGGCATACAAGTGCTTCCTCTCACTCACCACTTCTTCCTCATTCGCCTCCATGTGTCTGTAACCGCCAGCTTTCAAACGAGTCAACGATTTCAGATTCATCACGCAGAAATTGACAATCTCATCTTCGTTCTTACATCTCACCTCTTTGTTCTGTAGAAGAGGCTCTTTCGGTCAACATTAGCCATGTCTAGCCCTCCGTCTCGTCTCAAGAACATCCTCGGACACCTCCTGTCATCCTCCACAGCCAAGGTCGACGAGCCCCGTCCGAACCACCACATACACCAGCTTTCACCAACCTTCTTCCTAGAGCGTGCCGCCGCGATAGAGCCCGA